TGGTACAGTGAAACCACGCGGAGTGCAGGAATACAGCATAACAAACGATAGGGATTCAGTTTGACACTTAAAGTACTAGCTGGTTGTAATAACTTTTCTCGATAACCCCACCAGACCACCCATGGGGACTTGCAGGGCAGTGCTTCTTATATGCTCACTTATATGGTCATTGTTCATTGCTCAACCGTGGACTCTGGTGTGCATGTTCTTATATACCATCCCTTCCGGTATTCCGGATACCATCACTGGTATTGTTCATTATATCCTCAGCTACACATTTTGTTTGTAACCAACATAACGAAATTTATGAATGAAATTTATGATCATATTCCGACTAAACACCATACTAACTGTGGCTACTGGAAGGCGGTCATATAACCCCTACGGGCTAGTACAATTCATCACATCTTAGTTACACTTGTGTCTTGTTCTGGCGAGAGCGACAAGCTAATTAGAAAAGCTCACGAAACCCACCTCTAGTCCGGACTAATTACGGAATTGTGTTGTGGCTTAATGAACTTTCTCCAGGAGGCACCGTGACTTGTCAGAGTGCTATAATTGTTAAGTGGATCTCAACACGGTCCGACCTGTCAGATCGCCACACCCCCAAAAGTAGTCGTGGCGGCGAGACATGTCAGTATGGCGCGCCAAGCTGCGCTGACCGTTAGGCAGTTGTTCTTGCGACACCGTGAATACCGGAACTTGGTGGTCATTTGTTCAGCTCATACTGCGCACCTCGTCACAAGGAAGATAACGAAATGAGAAGACGAATATTGGCAGATGCTATCATTTGGTATTATCTCGTCAGTACCAATACAATCACAGGGAAATCCTTTTATGTCTTACAGGGCACAGTCAAACCAATCAAATGTATGGTTGTGGTCATTGTTGTTATATTAGGTCCACGGCAACCGCAGGTTGACAACTAATTGCTTTTGGACACACAAAGCTGGTCTAATTCGGCTTATCGGGACGGCCTCGGCAAATCGTACAAGGCCTGCATTAGTATGACGTAACAAGATCCGGAAAGCTGATAAGGGGTTAACCCGGTGACGAGTCGCCAAGTTGTGCCTGCCTATGGATGACGCTGGCGGCTTATGCAAACATGTATCACCGAAGGTGGATTGGGTAACTTCGCGCTTAACCCAGTTTGGTAAGTGTTCCTTCACTCGGGAATCTAAAACCCGTTCGGTCCTGCCGATGTAACTGATACCGCAGTCACACACGAATTGGTAGACACAATGTGATTTGGCGCCGACGGGTTCATCTTCCTTTACTGAAGGTAAAGGTAACTTGCGGGTTCTGTTGATTATTACCGCCTCCGCAGCACAGTATGTACGCTGAATGGCCGAGACAATGCGTTTGGTTATTCTTTTTGCTGCGGTCTCACCCTTGAATGGTAGCTCAATGTACACCTTCTTCTTAGGGGCGGTCAACACCATCTCCTTGGGCGGTCTAACTTGACTATGTTTGTCTATGAATCGCTTTGGGTAGCCATTCTCCATAAGTGTTTTGCTGATCAGCTCAAACTCCTCAGGCAGACAGTAGTTGGAGCAGATACGTCTGGCCCGAGTGAATAACGTTTTCACCAGCGCGCGCTTGTGCGCCATCGGTGAGAAGCTAGTGAAGTGTACATATTGGCCGGACCACGTTGGTTTCCGGTATACAGATCGCTTAATCAGCCCATTATCCCTGCGACTCATGAGAATGTCGAGGTACAGAAGACGCCCATTCGATTCGAATTCATAAGTCACCTCCAGGTTGGCGGGAACATTACTAAGTTGGTCTACTAATTGTTCGATTTGCATCTTCGTGGAACCGAAAACATGAATATCATCCACATATCGTTTGTAAACGGCAGCTGAGAAATCTGTCCACTTAGTTTCCTCTCAAGCATCAGCATGAAAATATCAGCCCGTACCGGACCCAACGGACTACCCATAGCTACTCCGTCAATTTGGCGATATGTGGTGTGCTGGAATCGGAAAGCGACATTCTCCGTGCAAAGTAACAAGGACTGTCTCAGGAGATTTGCCGGTATTGGTAGACGGAAATTTTCCTCTTCTATCAGGTGGCAAATGTAATCAACTGTCTCAAGCAAGGGGACATGAGTAAATAACGATTGGACGTCCACTGAGCACATAACCTTGTCGGCTATGCTGATTTGGTCTAGGTCTTCGATTATTTCAAGAGAGTCCTTAATGCTGTGCAAATTGTAGTGCTGCCTCAGTGATGCAAGGATCCGAACTAACCAGCGAGCCAATTTGTGCTGCGGGGAATTTAGCATGGACAAAATGGGTCTTAGTGGCATGCCCTGCTTGTGACTTTTTGGTAACCCGTACAGCTGTGGTGTCGAGGAACCGCTTGGCTTCAGGTGCTTGTTGGTGGTTCCATCAATTGCACGATGTAGGAGAAGCGTTTCCAGATGCCGGGTTATACGGGCCTCTACTTCTGTCAGACATTCTATCTTGTCGGTGCGTTGAAACTTGTTTTCGTCACCTAGAACGTTCACCATTTTTTGTACGTAATCACTCTTGTTCATGACAAGTGCTCCTGAACATTTGTCCGGTTTTAGTACAACAACTCCCTTATATCTCAGCTCTCTTATTGCTTTTAAATGACGGCTTGTAAGCGCGCACTTTTCGTTAACCGGTACCATGAGGATTTCAAAAACAATGTCGGCCAGCTTATTCCTAAACCAACTGACAGCATCAGGACTGGTTGACTGAAGTTCAGCCACTTGATCGAAAAAATTCTCAAACTGTGCTTCAACAAACAATCGATTCAGCTTATTGGGAGTAACTTTGTTATCTATCCCCAAGGCTAGTGCTTCCAGTTGCATATCACAAAGTTGTACGTTTGACACATCCAAGACGTACTTACCGAGATCACGTGTAACGGGTTGGTCATTTGCTTCCATCAGGGATTTTACTAAACGCTTTCTGCAAGATTCTTTCGTGTGAGCGATAAGTCTCTGGCGAAATATTGAAGAGACAATACGGCAGCATGGGGAAAGGGAAGATAGGCAAGACCAGCACCACAGCAACCTCACACGTTTATTTGGCAGATAGTAGCGCCGTGATAGTTTGTCGTTCGTTCGACTAGTCGTCACTTAGGGGCAAAGTCTAATACGCTGTATTGTTGTAGTAACATTTGTTCCACACAAACAGCTACTCTTCGAAATGGTCGGCCTTGAAAATAGTTACTTGTTTACCTACCCGTAGAAGCCAAACACAAAAGTACCGTTGAATGCAAGAAGCATGTCAAACCACTGGGGTGGGGGGTTAGAACCACAGAAACAATTACTGTATATAGTGCTCCATATCACTATTTGCCAAAGAAACAGGGTTTTCGCAATTATTTACACTCCTTTATCGATCTATTCTTCCATGTCATTCTATTTACTTTGAAATGCGTTGAATAAATGGGGGTAACTTAGGAATGTTGCTGATGGAGTTTGACACACGCGTCGCCTATGATTAGGATTTTCTAGACCAGTCCTATTTCGTTTGCAATCGCAGTACTACGTTGCAGGTAGTAGATCGATGCTGCTTGTCAACTGCAGCTCTTAGTATCCCGTACAACACCATTAAACTACGGTCAGCAGTCTAAATAACACAATAAGAAGACGGGTGATGGAAGATGATATCATTTCGTGGTCAGTGATCACATGAAAACGAGCAACATTGTAGACGATCACTGAAGAACGTAATCAATAGTGTGAATGCTGACAGAAAGATAGAGGAGGCCTACAACGTTACAGGCCATAACAGGATCACAGACGTTGAAACAAGTGTCACGGACCCCATAGAAGTTGAAATGTTACAATCAACTGTTTTCGTGCACAAAGGTCAGGACGACTGTGATTGATCGCCACAGCCTCAGCGAGCTTAAGTAATTTGAAGTAAGCAAGTAAGTAAGTAATTTGAAGTAGATGACCTTAAATGCCACATTTGGAACACGGAATGATATTAGATTGAAACACCCGTCTTCTTATTGTGTTATTTGAACGATAAAACGTATGCGATACTGTCCGTTTTGTCCGTCAATCTGTCTCCCATGGGACCGGTTGAAGACCCACAATCGAGGCGAATAACGTGTGATTGCTTACCTGTCCCGACTACTAAAAGTTTTTAGAGAATGGAATGTATAGTCTTCTGCCTGGGCACGGGGAGTAGTTTACATTTGATAACGAGCCATACACGAAGCGCCATGGGAGTGTTTGACCAGCGATTTTAACACTACTTCCACAGTGTTGCCCTATTGAGGAAAGATCGTAGACACCGGATGGCAAAATTTTAGATTGCTAGACCGCCTGCATGCGTGTGTTAAGCCTAATCAGTAAGCTCGACTTCTGGACAACAGCGTAATTTATTGACTCTTATTTCCTAGTCGCTTTTGAAGAGTATACTTGATTTAGCGATAAATAACCTTTCGAAAGAAGGACTTGCATGTTATCAAGTACTCACTTTGCGTGTGGTCGAAAGTATGCTTAAAGTGAATATACACATGGTTCATCTACCCAGATCCTCTGCATTTGAGTTTACAAGAACAACAAGGAGAGCATCTAGGAGGTTTTGTTGGTAAAATTCACTTGACAGCCCAGCAGTTTCAGAAGCTAAAAGAGTAGTTGCTCTTGTAGCTTCAAATGGGTTGTTAAGCAAGCAAAGATTTTAGGGCAGTTTTGTAAACACTGAGCAAAAGGAACAAACGATGCAGTTGCGCACTCTTGGGGGATATGATTTGTTTTGTAGCGAGGTAGCCGCATTAACACAGGGCACACCAATTGAAAAAGCACAAATCACCCTGACAACTTGTTTGCCCAGTGTAAGCATAAAGTTACAGCGCCGGAAACTCATCTTTGCAGAATCATGAATAAAAATATAACAAAGTCGATGAGGTGATATATCGACGGAATTGTTTACTCGGGTTGATGGAGGACAATCCTAATCAAAGTACTGCCTATTGGCTGATAGATTTGGAGTCCCGCATGTTAAACATTACGAGGGATGATATTGTTGAAACGGAATCTGAAAGGCAGCGGAGAGAAATGTATTCATTGTTGTGCAATGATCACTTAACGCATTCTCTGTCTGGTTGCTCAGCCCTGCTGATCCTGGAGGCTGAGACTGCGTTTTTGTGGCCATAGCCTCCGTGGTGGTTGCTGAGGTATAAGACTTTTCATCTGTTGTTGGGATAATGTCACGTGGACCATGGCTGGTAAGGTTCTCGAAGATGGTGGTGCATGAGTTGTCAGGTAGTCTTCTGAAGTCTATGGATCCAGATGGTTTGCTCTCCGGACAACAGTTTAACGTGATATCATTTTCAGGCAAGGGTGTGATTGCCCAAGAGCTCTGTGTGTCACAGTACTGGGAGTAGTCCGCTAAGCACTTTATGTACAACGTTAGGTAATCAGGAAATGTGGAAGACTGCGGGTCTTTAGGCTCATCGGATTTGTTAATACGCATAAGATGAAGGTCAAGTGGTTCTGAAACGAACAACGTCCTATGTTTCTCTGGAAATCGGGATTCAACGCCAAAGCTGGATTTAGGTGTGGTTCTGATGGAGATCGCTTCGGAATCAACTGTTGCTGCGCTGGTCCAGGCATGCTTGTACTCCTGTTCTGTGGGCGTCAACGAGCAAATACCTGTCTTCCATCCGTCGATATCCGATCGCACTTTAACATCATCTGCGCTCGTGCCGAACACAAAAGTGGTTTCAGAGCTCTTTTTTGACATAGCTCTCATGCTGGATAGTATGGATTGAGCTGCTGGGTGGTAGGTCCAATAAGGATTTGATTGAATTATCCGTTGCACAGCAACAAAGTTCCCCGCTTCAGAGAGAAGTTCAAGACCAACTGCTGTCTGCCTCTTCCACTTTGTTCTGCGCATAATGGAAACATAAACATTGGCGGTTGGATAAACTAACATCACTGGTGTTTCGTGAATGCGTTTCGGTACATAGACTAAAATTCGTTCAGTCAGGTACTTGGGAGCTGATCCGTATAAGGCACTGTAACATGTGTATTCGAAGGACGTAGCAACGTTTACCGAGCAAACGGGGAATGATTCGTAGTCATTAACGAAAAAAAACAGAACAAGTTTGGATGGCAATATTCACAATAACTACTATTGGAAAACATACAGTTAGGTAAATTGGGCAAACCCCAATTGTTCAGGACTCCGGTATTCCACCGTCAACGACAAATTGCGATTAAATGGGTGGGGAGGGAATGCGCTGTTATACTACTGCTCAAAGCAGATAGCTAGAAAACAAGTGAACACATCGTGAACGTTTGAAACTACAGTAGAACCTCGTAATTTGACCACCGCTGTGTGTTGACCCCTCTGGAAGTTGTAGGTTTATCACTTCGGTCATAACAGTTACCGCTAATTTAACCTCTATACGTTGACCGTGTGTAGGTTTACCGTTCAACTGTCGCCGATCGTTTGTTCAACCAACCACTGCACTCTGCGGCTTCCCAGAGTTTGAACAATTCAGCATGTCCTCTGTCTGGGTATGTGCGCACATGCTTATAACCCTCCCCACAGCCCTAATGCGCATCGGTATTTACATCGTACAATGTGTGCCCCCACGGGTCCGCATTCACAGATGGACTTTGACGACATTTGTGTGGAATCTTTCCACACGCAGGCACGCGTCAAGCCTACGGTGCAAATGTGCCTACGCATTACACAGGTCGTAATCAGGAGTTTGAGGGCCAGGAAACTTCTCAAGCACCATTAAAACCTCATCAAAGGATTGAAATTCTCAGGATATTCATCATTCCATTACACATCCACAGCCTCTCGCTGTCAGTAATACTTCCAGACACACTCAAAACGATGGACAAATTAATCAGGGCTAACGTTCTCAAATGGTTAAGATTACCCAAGGATACAGCCATGGCCTTTGTCCATGCATCCATCGTTGACCACGGCTTAGGCAATCCTAGTCTCTGAACGATGCTACCATTACTTTGGAAAGATCGAATGGAGCGACACCTTTCTAACCCTAATGCCATCCTGAGCTGGCCATTCGTGACCCCTCTACCTGTGCGATACATCGGTTAGGTAAGTCGCCACCCATCGTAGGTCGGCAACCTGTGACGGATAAGGCTCAGCAAAGGAGGCATTGAAGACTCAATTACTTACTACGCTTGACGGATCCCCTCTATGTCCAGCCTTAACGTATCTAACTTCTAATCGATGTTTCTTTAGAAAGTTCATGCAGGCATTTCCCGTCACGAATTTCAATAAAGCAAGAAGAAACAACATTTTAACACAATCGAACTTGAACTAGAACGAGTCACCTTGATACTACAAGAGAATGGGTATCCAGCGCGATTTATAGCTCGGCACGCGAAAATACCATCAGGAAGTAAACCACCAGCCGGTCCCAAAGAAAAAGTATTCATTACATTGCCCTTCAAAGGAGATCAAGTTGACCGAAGATTCCGGCATCGCCTCCGTCGATCAATTAAAAGTGTTACCATGCGGCTGAGCTAGTGGTATTACATGAAGTCAGAAGGTTGCTCTGTAACTCCAACCTGGACAGACCGGACTATCAAGTTGCCGCCTCATGCATTTACCTCTTTAATTGTACTTGCGGTAGTAAGTACATAGGCCGAACTGAGAGAAGGCTGTCAGCGAGGATTGTACAGCATGTTCCTCGAAACATGATCGCTAAGGGTCCGAAGCTACCGACTAGCTCTATTGCCCGCCACACGCTTGACTGCACTGAATGCCAGAACCCACGTGGCAGTTTCAGGGTAGTTAGCAAACAAGATAATCCCCGTTTACTACAGTTTACGGAGGCATCAGCAATTCGGCGGCTGAAGCCAAATCTATGCAAGCAAACGGACTTCGTGACCATGCTAGCCCTACCCTGGTGTGGCTAGTGATTGCGTTTTCCTCGGAACAGGTCACGTGAGCCTAAGGACCTTCGACCGCTTCGAAATTTTGCTGATAACAGCGCACTGTTTTCCATTAACAGTATGTAAACAGCTGACGAGAATACGCAAACTTGCTGAATTCATTAAATTCTGTTAAAATATTACTTCTTGCTTTATTCTAATCGATGGCTGCGTCAACCTGCACGCGGTTTCTCGCCCCTATCCATCAGGATAACTTAATAAGGCACAGGCGTCCTTCCTACAAAAGTCAGACGCACCAGAGACACCACCGCGTTCCCCATCCGATCTCAATTGCCCCGGCTCATGTGGGCGACACGGATCATGCTCTCACGTGCTCCAATCTTGCAGCGTAACCCACGATACACACAACAAACGGCAGAATGACATTGTCAACAAAGTGGCAACGATTCTACGCTGTCAGGGAGCTACAGTCTTTCCAGAACCACGCATCCCCACGCTAACGAGTTACATCAAGCCAGGTCAACTCATCAACCGGGGAGTTATTACTTACGTGATTGATATTACTGTCAGTGACACAAACCGTATGGCCCAATCTTACCAAAACAAAATTGACAAATACGTTGTCCTTGATCACGCAGTGACCATCAGGAACTACACACAAACTGCACTCTTAGAAAACTCCTCTATTGTACATTATCTGCTCATCTTAAACAATAGAGGATATATGCATCCCGCGTCATCGAAACACCTGTTGCCATTGGGACTCTCATCCTTGGATATTTCCCATCTGTGCATTTCCACCATCCGAGGAACCATACGTGTGTATGAGGTTTATACGTGAAGTGAATTCTAGCAAATAAACTCACTATAACAACACAAACACTGACACATACTGGGTGTGCGGTCCTTGACCAAGTGCTTTGAGCTTTTATTGAGCCATTTGCTTAAGAGTACGTCGGAGCATCCATCCAGACTTGGCAAAATGCTGTACTGCTCATTGCTCTAGGTATGCATGCTTTTGCCGAAAATAAATGTTCCTCAACTAACCCGTTCTAAGATAAACCGTTCACTACCTGCTCATGAGCCTATTGGATCGTCGGGACATTGACGTTTGCGTCCACTGATCATTAAACGCTATTCCGCGCTATTTGTTGTCTGCCTGAGCGCGCAAACAATTAGGTTTGTTGTTGTATGTAATTAAGTTCCTGTAAATAGCACACTAGATCTTGGATCCACTCCGTGCTTTGAACACTTCGGGATCGTCTATTACGTCTATGCAAGCACTATGGTTCAACGAAAGAGTTAACTCAGAAGGAGACGATTATTCTGCTACACTTTCTGGAAAGCAGTAGCCAAAGGAAGATGGAAGAACAGATGAGTGTTAGCAAGACAAGTTAGGAACATCTTAGATTATGTGCATTGGTACCTGGAGAGGTACGAGAATGAAAGCTGCGATCTACAGCAAACGAGGTGGGACAGGCGGAGAACGTCACACGATGAACTCAATGAAGCTAGGCTGCGCTGCATCAAACAAATGAGTGAAGTTAATGCCCAAATCTTCCGGGTTGATGATTCAAGAAATTGCTAAGCGTTTTTCACAAGAACTTGGGGTCTGCGCTTTTCAAGCACACAATAGTTAGAGCAATTTAAAGAGCGATACCAAAGAATCTTGTGTGGTGATTCCTATGAAGTTCCTGAAGTGTTTGTACAAGATTTCACCGAAAACGTTCCCGGCTTCAGCAAGGGTTCCAGCGATGGTGAAATTTCTAACACTGACGAGTGCGGTCTCCTTTACAAAGTGATGACTAGCAGGGACCTAGTTATAAAAGGTGACAAATGTAATGCGGAAAGTATTCCAAAGTACGTTCTACAATTATGATGTGCGCTAGTTCAAGTGGAGAGAAGGTAAAGCCTTTGGTCATTGGCAAGTCAACTAGACCACGTGTGTGCAAAAACCGAAGTCCTGAAAACCTTCCAGTCATCTGGAGATCAAAGAAATCTACCTGCATGACTGCTGCCGTATTTGATGGGTGGACAAGCAAAATCGAGCTAGAAAGGGTGAAGAAGAATTGATTCACTCGACTGAGAGCGAATAATTGTCCTAGTCTTATCCAAATCGATAATCTCACGAACATTACACTGCCTCCAAATATGACCACAAAAATTCAACCCCTGGACCAAGGAATCATCAAAATATTCAAAACGCATTACTATGCCCAGCTCATGCAATGGGTTATGGCAAAAATGAAGCCCAATGATCTATATGCGGCAAGAACTTCATCTACTACTTCAGTTAGTACTCTGGATGCTGTGTTTTAAATAAGTTCCGCTTGGCACAAAGTTCAGCAGAAACAATACAGAAGTGCTTCAAGAATGTTGGATTCCTTCAAACTTTCGAACAGGACACTGTTAGTTTAATAAACCCTCCATATTTTATTACAGATTTTGATGGGATATGTTTTCAAAACATTGTTGAAACGGATGATGAATTGGTAATCTTCACTGAACCAAACCTAGATACTATTTTCAAAGAGATGCTGACTGCGGTACACTCCTTCCGGAACAAATAAGAAGTACCTAATGATGAAGAACAACTAAGCGATGATATAGGAACCACATAAACCCTAAAAGAAACTGATGTCGGGTATCTTTTAATACAATTGGAATCATTCGCTGTGGAAAAATGTCCAAGCATGCTGAGTAGTGTACTTTGTGCTGACAGCGCTTTTTTCAGTTACTTTCGTGCTAAGAGAAAGAAACAGACAATATTGACTTTTTAAAATGATCTAATTTGCCAAATGCATATTGCGTTTTGCTTGATCATAAACTTGTATGGTTGAACTGCGTTTGTCATTACGTGAGACTTTGTCTAATGTGTTCGAGACGAGTTTGTGTGAAAATGGATTTCATACTTTGCTACTCACAATGGGATGGTAGATTAGGCAAAGTTTTGTCATAATCTTCGTATGTGGACCACCTCTCTATGTTGGCCACTTTGGTCCAGTCCCTTACAGAGGTACCACTCTATTAACAATACCACTGGCCAATAATTGACGGCCCAATCACAGAGTGTAGAAAGGGTTAGGGGTTAACGGAAGCCACACACATACAGGTCGTCAGTGTGTCAAATTGATGACCTGTGAATCGCTCACCGAAACAGGTAACTAGGTTACAACGATATAGAGATGGCGACATCGAACCTAGTGCATGGTGACTCTGTTACAGTCGAGATAAAATTAAAATGAGGTCGAATATCTTTAGTGAGGGAATGAGGGTGCAGACCAGGCGTGAATCCCGAGACAAGCGTGTGGGCATGCGGAGGATTGCAATGTTACTAAGTTAAACACTGGGAGGGGGCGAGGAAAGTATCCGTTATTTTAAGCATATGGTTCGGTGCACGAGCGGTCCTCGCAGCCACGATGAAAGATCATGTGTATGAACAGAAAAGGGCAGTCTAAGTGACAACCGAGAATAGGTTTCAGGGAAATTTCCAATCAGTGCAAGATTCCGTTACAGGCGGTATCTCGTAAACCTTTGGCGCTGACCATGAGCAGCAACCCTGTAAAATACGTGGAACTGCAGAATGAAAACACGATGGGCGCCCTTCGCGCGATCCCATTCCAAGTAACTATGTTTTAGCTCCAAACGCTACGTTATCGATGTAACTATTGATCTTCCGACATCTTCAACCAAAACCGGGACGGAATGCCTTTACTTCTGTTGATAGTACGGAAGAGGCGAGCATCTGTGTAGCCTCATGATACCATGTGAACTTTTTATCCCCCAGTCAGACTATTATACAGGAAATGGGACCCAGTCAGAGAAATCAGTCTATCTGCACCAAAACTAGCTTAATTACACAGACCTTTCACTGTACAATATCAAATGTATATCAGAAAATAGAAAGGAAGAATCATGTGGTAAGATGTGCAACGGATCACGGAAAACTGGAAATCTGTTTTCTAAGGATTGTATTATTTATAATTATTCGAATATCCACGTACGTTCCTTGACTGTTGCCTGACCATTTAGATCGACATTAGTTTTGCACTGGGTTTTATATACATATGGTAACAGAGCCACGGTAGCCAGTTGTGAACTATCTACCAGTGCTATCAAACTGCTGGAAACCGGCTCAACTGTAATCGATTATCAGGATAGTCGACTCTCTCATTTGACAGTTACCAATAATGTTAATCAATCGACGCTAGAAGAAGCAGATTCCTTCACTCTACCGTATCCTTTATTTCGTTCAGTAAGTTTCGCAACCTGATATACCAGCAAATCGCATCGACAAAATAAGCACAATAATGGTAAAAACATACCGGTTCCTCCAGGTAGCAACCTCCATCTTTTCAACTCAGTGTGTTAGTTCTCACTTCATTGCTTCCACACCTTGCCTACTGGGTGTGTGAGTCACATTATAGTGACCTCATGCTGTCCATGCTGTAGTGGACTTATAATAATGCATTACTAGATCTCTCTCTTCTTATCATACTAGAGGGAGGTGGTTTGACAACTTACCGTCTGTTCTGATACCAGGTTTTCACTTGCGTGTCTGTCAAGTGCAAGCGGTCGGCAAGTTCGATCCTGTCCTGTACACTGAGGTACTTTTGATGATCGAACATCTTTTCCAACTCATTCAGTTGGGCATCGGAGAATGCGGTTCGCGCTTTCCGAAGCTTCTTCACCTTCCCTCCGCCACTGCCTTCACAGGGGTCCGGGGTTCTGTCGCTGCTTGGAACGTGCGGCACGTGGAATCCTCCATCAGTATCATGAGATTCAATGATGCGCTCATTCGATGAACTGCATGTCTCCGAGTCGCAAGCACTTAGCACGCCAAACCGGTGTAATGGTTCCAGATATGCCCCTTGTGGTGAAAACTGATCCGAAGAAGGTTGAGCTGATGCTGATTCGCAGCTAGTTGTTTTCGATGCCGTCTCACCTGGTGCAAGAATCGAGATATGGCAATTTGTTTTCAACTCGATGGCGGGAAAAGGCTATCATACTTAATCTTCCGTCATAATGTCAAGTGTCTGCGCCAGCTAGCACAAAACAGTAAGCGCAAAAGGACAATCGAGTTCTGCCGTACCAAGTAAATTCGTTGATGGCCACCAAACCGTTGATGGCATGGGTTTGTAACCCAGTTTCCACAGTACATCAGGCATTTTTACCTGAACCAATCAATCAAGCAAGCGGTAGTCTATTGGTTTTGGCCACACAAGCTGATATTAATTCACATGCCCATGACGAACACTTGAAGTCCATTGAGTATACTGTAAAATAAAATATTGTACAGTTTTACGCGAGTGCTTGTTCGTACACTGATGTGCACATGTGGCCTAAGCACACGCCATTATCAGGGCTTTCTCTGTAGTAGAACTGTACGTCAAAACACAGACGTTTCCTAACCAACGAATTAGCCAGCGAACCATAAATAAGTCAGACATCCCTTTGCTCCCGTTGTATTCATTTATAGACTATATTGTATATCAACGATACGCATTGTCTACACAAATCTTAGTATTATTCGCGTGTATCTACTGATCACATCGTATACAAAGAAATCGCGCTAGTAAACTCCTTCTCTATTGTAGTCATCCCTGCACATCTTCCGCTGCAACCCGAATGCAACGCTCACTGATGGCTTCTACGATCGGATTTAGGTGGACCGATAAATCTGGGCAATTGTAAAGGTACCACAGCAAGACATATTATCGCGTCTCAGCGCCAGAGACAACAGACCGCACTGCATAAGTTAACCCCAGCCAGGAAATGTAACACCACAAAACAGCGTCAACATTGTTCCATTGAAAGAATGCGTCTTCTGCCTAGTATATAAGTTTTAATTTGCATCAGGTACCAAGCATATCAAATTTCATTAAAATGCTGAGTTTTGCCTACCTTATGCTCCCACACGCTTAAGTATGCGCAGATTAATGTGAGCGGACGGAGCGGAGAACTTACTGAAAAGGTTGGACCAAATTTGGGTTCATACGCCTGCACGTCAAACTCACCATTATTGGACGTATCTTTACGAGGATTACTTATCGGTTCGTAGTGTTCTTGGAGTCCGCTTTCAAGGTCATGCTTCAGTTGAAAAATCCGATCCCTATCCACCCAAGACCAGGTGTTTTCCCCTTCAGTGAGGTTTTCGACGGAAGAAATCTCAATTTCCTCCCGTTCGGTTAGGGTTTGCTTCAAGATATCGTGTATCATAAATGACTTCAGTTGGTATATGGGTCGCAGTGGTGCAATCATCGCGGATGACCTCACAGTGCTAATGAAGCCATAGACCAGATGTGAAGGTAGCGGAACAAGCACAGCCACGGAATTTCAACTTTTGCGAGTTGGGTTTTCCCCTCCTCATTTAAAGACAGCTTCATTTGGGGTTTAAAATACATCCAGGATAGTCCGAACTATGTTGCAACCGAGGGACAGAAACATCTGACGGGGAGGTGTATGGATAAGGGCGTGAGATTTGCTGTTTTCTCTCACCCGCACTCTCCCTCAATCCAACCGCCCCAGCATTCTTTTGACAACATTGATCACTTTTCACTCTTAGAAGTTTGTTTGGGTTCTTTAAAAGGCGTATTCTGAGTTCTCACTTATGTGGTTACACGCACACACACAAGCAGGCAACTAAATACTCTCAGGTGGGCGTCCTTAGATAATGCGATGGGGCAGATACAAACGCCGGTTGGAAGTCAAAACAACTGGCTAAGCGTGCTCGATTTGTCCGCACGCGTGGAGACAAGGTCCGCCTTTGTGGCCACCCCCTACTCAATCCGTCCACCACCACCACCACCATCATTACAACCCGCGTGGGGTTAAATTGTCCAATGGATTGGCAGTGTTTCGGAACAGGAAAAGCAACAGTTGCAAATAGACCAGACAGCGACCGGAAGACGAAAAACGACTCATTAGAGCCATTCACCTTCTTCCGCCCCGAGGTGCGGTGTCATATGTCAAAGACAAAGAGTTATTACTAAGTGATCTACATGGTTCTCCATTTGGCCCAAACAGTCGCTGCATACTATAACAGGCCGTTACTACAGTAGTTCCCTTATGGAACACTTAAACACCGTAGTGAAAACCCCGAAGACATTGAGTTGGAAAATCAGAGGTTTATAATTAGCAAGCTTGGTGGACGTCTGAGCATTCAGGCTAGCACTTATCTAGTGCATAGGATGGAGAAGAGTGGCCAAGAGTTGTCTGAATTGCTTCAGCGTTGCGAGTAAATATTACCAACATCAGAGGCGAAAGTTTCTGTGAGTACTGGCTTCGATGCAGCGATCCTCACTCTCGCATTCATCCTCCATCTTTATTGCGTGGAACTGTTATTCACAGTCGAAAGATTAACTTCGTCACTTAAGTCGCATAAGAAACCTGCAAAATTTTGCACTATCGAAAGCGTGTATGAAAATGCATGTTGGCATTGACCCTGCAGCGTTGCAGATTTATTTCATGCATGACCACTTTTATTACCTATTGAGATAGTAGCTCTCCGTCCCTAAACAGAGGATTAGCAAGACATTTGTGAACAGAAAAAGCCTTCAGCGATGCACATATGTAAGTTAACAATTTGTCTCCTCATACTATTCTTTACTTCATCCATCCATTTCACATTTTTGGTGCGGAAATGGACGGGATAAAGAATTCCCAGGAAGAACATAACCAGCTCGGTTGTACAACCACAATGCGGCCACCGAAGTGCGATGGATCCAGTCATCACGGTTTGCGTTGCTGAAGCTGCACTAGCGGTTACCAAATCGATGAACCAGAAATGATAGATGACACAGTTGCACTGAACAACGGTAGTTATTTTTTCGGAAGTAGGACGCGCTATATTTAGACAAGTCATCAGTTAACAGCACGCACTCATTACGCAATTTAATGATCTACTCAACTGGTGGACGACAGAGGGTTCACTCTAGGATGAGTGAATCCGGCATTCGCAATTAGTCAACTAGCTTGGTTGAAGAAGGTTCCTATGGCAGCCGACTGGAATTATGGGAGTATCAAAAAGTGATTTCCTGTCGTGTGGTCGCGTAGGCGAATATTCATTCGCACGGTGCGGCAATTTTACCTTCGACTTGCGTGCCCACCATATTTTATTCCGAAATATGCACTTAGTGTATGTGTAGTTGATCTTGCGGTGAGCTCAATTAACTGTACTAATGTGTGCGTATTTAGCTTGAGTGGTTTGCATTCGTGTTCACTGATAGGGTGGAATTTGCCTCTTGTTTACTGCACAGTGCTGGTGAGGGGCTGATCGTGCTTGCGCCCAAAGTTCATCCAGACAAGCGGAAATCAGTGGCGTGTTTTCCTTCCGTTACTGTTGTATCTGTTCATTGCGGTCGAAGACTTGTTCTGTGTTCCTGCTGAGTGCAACCAAAGTACGAAAGTGGTCGTGGAGTTCAGGGTGTTGCAACCGGGAGCAACAACCAGTGTTTGTTTTCATAGCTCCAGTTTTGATCTCGCTCTTTACCTACGGAAAACTGCTGAGCGCTTGCTCCTCTATGTGTGATAAATCCAGTGTCCCACTATATTCATCTACTTCAGGTGTGGTCGCAGTAACCGGATAAACTTAGTTCCGCTTCCGCTGGACTCTGCGAATCCAGTTTGAAGGCCGCAATTCATTCACACAACAAATACCCCCAAAAATAACTCATACATATGCAGGTCTATAGGAAAACCATTTTTTAATCTTACCCGATTACGTGTTACTCGCATCGGTTCGATGAAATTGTGCTCTTATGGTGAGTTTGCGAAGTTTCTTCCAATCTACGACCACATGCTCTATATCAGCTTACTCAAATCAAGCGTAGTAGCTTGTCGAAAGCAGGCTGTATAAAAAACATGGTTATTAGATTTGCCACATAGGATAAACCGATTGCACATACCCAAACTCTTAGTTTATGTTCACTATTTTCTATAAATAAACATGCGGGGAGAAGTCAATTAACTGATCTATTTCTTTCCGGACGGCCTTGGAGTTACCGCAAAACGCGAAACTCCTACACAACCAAATTGCTCGTTACCACACGCCTCGTCGCAACCGGTTTGTGGTGGATTAGCACCGTTGCACCGGGGTCCTCAGTGCCTCATTTACACCACTTTCAGTATTCTTTAATAGTAAATCTTGCTCACCTTACCATATAACAAATGTACATTTGCGTCACTGCGTGCACCTACTGACCAATTGCCCCCTCACCGTCAGTTGAGTACGGCGCGCTCCGTGCTCTCGCTCACTCGTACTTCGGTCCTTGTAGATCTGTCTCTAACACACTCATCTCAGTCTCCTTGTACCCCGATATATATTGTTCACATAAACAATTTATACTTGTTACCAAGACCGCGCAATTCTTTGACAGCCGTAAAACGTGCCCGCCCATATTGTGCTTGGCAGTAAGTCAATAAAAACCATAAAGATCAGTGTTGGTTTTCCTATGGCAGTGGATTATGCTCTTGAAAAGTACTGGCATCCACCAACTACCCCAGATGATTTGTTATCTGATTTGAATTTATTGACATAATGTAAAATTGATTTCTTCGAATTGTGTCTGCAAGTCCAAGTTGGGAAAAGTATGGGTGAAATGTTCACTGCAAATAAGCATCGAAGCCTGTTTTGTTAAAATAGTTTGTCATTCTTGTGTACCCTAGCGGTAGCTAGGTGAAAAGCGAATAACATTTTGACAAGGTTTAGTTTCGCGTTAGTATATGGCTGCGGAAGCCACTCAGGAGTTTGGATTCATCCAACTTCTCTCCGAATCTTGGTAACTACCTGCGAAACCATGTTGAATACGCTAAGCGGGCTTGACAGGCTTGCCCAAATCGTGACCTCGCAACGCTCGAGGCCTCACAACATTGAGCAATGAACTTAGCAAAGGTTTACGCAACCATCCGTATTAGGAACGACTGAAGAAACTCCGAGTGTTCAGTAGACGCTCCTAACGGATACGTGGAGACTTCATATTAGTGTACTAAATACTGAAAGATACCAGTGATGCAAGCCAACCCCAGCTGGAACGCAACCCAACCGCAACCTTAGAGGCACTAGTTTGAAATCAAGTCAGAAATACAATAGTCTAGATTAAACAAATAAATAAATAAATTGTATATTCCTCGACGATGCGAAAAATTCCCGATAAAGGAATAAATCAAATAACAGTACAAGCGTTCCATGAGATTGCACTAATACATTGTCAGTAATAAACATGGGCGCAATTGCAAATTAGTTAACACAAAGTAGTCGGAATGGTTCTGCTATTTTTTCCTGCCATTGAATCAGAATTCTTCACCATCACATCACAGATGTTTGGACGCAGAAAAATGTAATGAAAGGGGCTATTGTCCGAAATGTTATGCGTAAGTGTTTCGAAAATTGATTCAGGCACCATGGATACCGTCCTTATATGCGTTATCTAGGGACTGTGATGTCCCGAATCTGTTAATCACATTTTGGATGGTTAAATGCTTACTAATCGCAAGCTTACAATTGCAGTGTATAGCGTCTTCTGATATCACTTGGAAGTTTGTTACAAACGTTGGAGTGTTGGGTTAAAAAGAAACGTTCTCTGATTCTCGTAGAAAATTGTGGAATCATGACCTTTATTTCTTCGTTACGCATTGGATATCTGCTGTTTAAGGATATGTGAACACAGTTATCAAGAGTGCGAATTTGACAATTGTAAAGAAAACGTAGGTTCGGCCTCATTATTTGAAGCCAAACAGGATCAAATCCAAGTTTATCACATCGCTCTCTGTATGTCAACTTTGAGGAAAGTCCACATAGATTTTTCATGAAGCGTCTCTGGACCCTTTCAAGAGCATGCTGGACAGTTTTCCGCAGATTAGAGTGTACCACTGCACAATATTCTATACATGGCAATACATATGTTTTGTAAAGCGATAAGCGAGATTCCGTAAGGTAAAATTGGTGGTAGGTGTAACCGATGATCTTCATGGCTTTCGAAACTTGAAAGTCACAGTGTTCAGGAAAGTGAAACGTAACTGAATATAGCACAAGTTGCAAACTGCCCTGCATTACGAGATATATGCACATTGTAGTAATAAACTGTCTGGAGAAGATTGTCCGTTAGTAATGCATTCTTGCACCTTTGGTTGTTTAAGTGTTCCATGGCACTGAATACTTCAAATGTTGAAACCCAACTCCGAATTAGTGTGAATCCGGAGTTGCTTCGTTGTCGCGATCAACCTCCTGTTTTACGCCTGTCGTTTCTAATCCGTATAACCAT